ATCCCCAGTCCTTTTCATTTTTTGAGAGAGTCTCACTAAATTGCCCAGGTTGGCCTTAAACTTGCCATCCTCTTGCCTCAGCTCCTGCATAAGCCATGGAAGTATTTTTCAAAAACACATTGGTAGTTTTTGAAATCAATCTAATCACTTACAACCAAATGACAGAATAGAATAGAAATTTGAAAAGTTCCACTTAGGGTGATCAAGAGATCTCCAACTTACTCTTGAAAAGGGAGGTAAGTAACTGGAGAAAAACTACTTAAACCTCTGACTTGGTCTGGTAGCCAGTGTTAACTCAAATATTTGATAAGTAATTTTGTGCTAAACACTATTTTGGATACTGGGTGAACATGAGTGAACAAAACAGACAAAGGCTTTCTATGTGGGAGCAGACAATAAGTTATATAGATCTAGTATTATACTATGGTAACAGTAACAGAAGTAAAAGCTAATATATGCATACAGATGCTGGGAAGAGAATAGATGTGGTGAAGTGGTGAATGTTCTGATTACTTCATGAGTGAAGTAGAAAGCAAAGTCTTCATCTCAAAGTGAGAATGGGGAAGAAGGTATTGGAATTTGAGAAGAAAAAGAAGGTATGAAATAATTTAGGACATAGCACAGCAAATCATAACCTATAGCCAGATTTTGTTTTCATACAGTTTGCAAACTAAGGATAATTTTTATACTTTGAAGTGGCTAATAAAAATCTAAAGATGACATATTGTAATATGTAACAATTATATAAAATTCAAATTTTATTCATTTGAATATGCCTATGGTTGCTTTCATGTCGTAGTGATAGCACTGAGTAGTTGCAAAGGACTGACCCATAGAGCCAAATATATTTATCTGGACTTTTACAGAAAAAGTTGGCTAGCTCCTGATTTAGGAGAATGAACTAAGGAAATATGATTATCTACTCTTCATTTCATGACTTACCTGCTGATATTGAACTATTCCTTATGGGTCATTCACAGCTGGATCCTCCATTTGGTCAGGCCTTAGAATAGGTCCCTTTTATAGACCCTTGTGCTCAAATTTGCCATAATGGAACCTCTTTATTATGGTATATTTTCTATTCCCCAGTTATTCCTTATACAACAGAGAAATTAGTATGAGCTTAGATATGGGGGACCGTTTCTGTAGGACTTTAACATGGTAATTGGTTCCTCACAAGGTCAACCCTAGCATCAATCAGTTCTCATACCTTTATCTATCTCCAGAATAAGTAAGATAAGAATCAGTATAGCACTTCTCAGTATAAAATCTGCAGCCCCAGGTAAAGATCATCCAGTGTAACAAGGAGTCTAGCATTTTTTTTTTTTAAAGAGAGAGTGAGAGAGGAGAGAGAGAGAGAGAGAGAGAGAATTTTTAATATTTATTTTTTAGTTCTCGGCGGACACAACATCTTTGTTGGTATGTGGTGCTGAGGATCGAACCCGGGCTGCACGCACTCCAGGCAAGAGCGCTACCGCTTGAGCCACATCCCCAGCCCAGGAGTCTAGCATTTCATAACAGAATCCCCAGATCAGATCAAAGTAGAGTTAGATTCCTATTATTCATGCTTATAGTACAGAAGGTTATATGTACCCACTCCCTCTACCCTCCAAGTCTCTCCCCTGTCAAATACAAGTATCTCTATTAAATCAAACTTCCTCTTATTCAAGGCAACTGGCAGGTTTTGAGTATGTTAACACTGGAGCATCTGATTTCATAGTTAAATCATGTTACTAGATGACTATTTAACCACTCTATTTATAAAGATTAAAGATATTAACATTTAAGAGTTAAGTTTCCATAATATATAAAATGCATTTATTTGGAATGCCATTTGACATTGACTTTGACAATATATTAAGATTCATTCAGTCATTTTCTTTCCCTAACCTCTCCTGTTTGAATTAATATTTTTTTCTAGAAGTATTCTCTCCTTTAGTGCTGATTGATCCACCATAAAAGATTACTCTCATATATAAAGTTTTGCATGACTACTTTACATGGATTATCTCATATAACACTATGAGTAAGTACTATTATTATATATATATTATAGACTACAAAACCAAGCTCAGTGAGATCCACCAATTTGCCTAAAGACATATAGCCAGTAAGAGGGAGCTGAAGGACTAGTAGCAATGGAGGAACCAAAACCCACAAAGACTTGTGTTCAGAAGGCCCTAAGAGAGAAATACTGATGTAATCAGGCTGTGCCTGGGCTCCCTCACCTTCCTGGTTAGGGCTCTAACACAGAGACTGTCAGACAAGCACAAAGAGGGAAGATTTCACTTTATTATTTCAACAGTCTCACAAATAAACCCAACACAGCCAGAAACACTGAGCAAATAAAGTGCCAATGCAGAGAGGCCTGGCATCAGGAGGGAGGAATCCAGTTCATCTCCATGTGCCCAGCCTAGAAAGATTTCTATTATACGAGAGTGAGGGCAGCTAACATACCAGGTAATCCACTCTGAGCTAAGGAACAAAAAATCATACCAGGTGGGGTCTGTGAAGGATAAAGCAATAGAAAAGTCAGAAAATATTCATTCCTCAAAAGAGTCAGGCATAGAAATATCAAATGACAAAAATATTCTTAAACATCCTATATTTGTGGTGGTCATCCAATAAGGAATGAGATAAGTCTGGTACTTCTTGCTCCTGCCTATCCTCAGAACTATGATGTAGGTAGACATTCCTCTCCCACTCCCTCAGAGGCACCTGAATTTTCTAAGACTCTGGGAAGAACTGACCTCACCTTCTTATCTTGACAGCCCCCTCCAAAGTAGACAGTGCTCCCTTATGAACCTCAGGGAGATAAAAGCTATCAGAGTAATCCACTTGGAGCATTTAAAGAAAGTTAATGAATTTTAAGACTTACCCTAATTGCCTTTAGGCATTTTTAGGTGTCTCCATCAAGAAAATTGCTTACTGATTTTCAGAGACCAGAGGATCATTAAACGCCATGTAATCATCCCCCTAATGCTATATGGTCCTAAACTAAGAACCAGAATCACTTGCATCTTTGCAGAATCTGAGAATTCCTGGCTTACTTGGTCTAAAGGGAATTCAATAAGGATAAACCAGAAAGAGCCTGAAATATGCCTCACATGTGGTCACAAGTCAAGACTTGGAGTTAAACTTTAATGTAGGAAAACAAGGAGTTAAATATTTCAGCTCTATCCTAGGATAAGACACAGGACAAAGCATCACATGATAGGTAGGAGAGGAGTGTGGGAAGGAGCAAATATCTCCTAGGTAAGGGAATGGGTGTAGCTAAAGGACAGACTGAAGTTGGCAATCCTTGGTTCACATACTGAGCTTCAGATGTAGCCTAGTCTGCTCCACTATGGTTATGCAGATATGTCCATCCAGCTTCCTTTGTAGAGGCTGATAGGAAAGAGGCCTAGGGAATGACCCAGTGACAATGACCAATGACTGCCTAATTGTTCAAATGGGGGTCACCAAGTTCTTAATCTTAAGGAAGCTTCTGTGAGGGTAAAAATATTCAGGTTCCAAAAAATTGTTTGACAGTGGCAGGAACTAAACACTAGACAAAATAGTTGGTGGATGGAGTATTATGCAGCACTAAAAAATGACAAAATCATGGAATTTGCAGGGAAATGGATGGCATTAGAGCAGATTATGCTAAGTGAAGCTAGCCAATCCCTAAAAAACAAATGCCAAATGTCTTCTTTGATATAATGAGAGCAACCAAGAACAGAGCAGGGAGGAAGAGCAGGAGGAAAAGATTAACATTAAACAGAGACATGAGGTGGGAGGGAAAGGGAGAGAAAAGGGAAATTGCATGGAAATGGAGGGAGACCCTCATTGTTATACAAAATTACATAAGAGGTTGTGAGGGGAATGGGAAAATAAACAAGGAGAAAAATGAATTACAGTAGATGGGGTAGAGAGAGAAGATGGGAGGGGAGGGGAGGGATGATAGTAGAGGATAGGAAAGGTAGCAGAATACAACAGTTACTAATAGGGCATTATGTAAAAATGTGGATATGTAACCGATGTGATTCTGCAGTCTGTATTTGGGGTAAAAATGGGAGTTCATAACCCACTTGGATTTGATCTAATGTATGAAATATGATATGTCAAGAACTTTGTAATGTTTTGAACAACCAATAAAAAAAAGAAAAAAAAAACCAAAATAGTTGTTGGTAGTTGGCAAGGTTCAAAGTGGGATCCATTAAACACCATGTGAACTACTGCTGTGAACCAAGGGTAGACTTGGGAATATCTTAAAGTGATACTTACAGCTGGCTATTTTTCCTACTTGTCCAAACACCACTTATATGACTGAACTGAAGGGGGGATTCCATTGTAGGTATGTTTATGCCTAAGCTGACACCCTAACAAAAAAGTTCCAACCCCTACCCTCATGATATCCCCAACTCTTTGATAGGGGTCAGGGAATACTGAGCAGTTATAAAAGGGTTGTTCTTAACACCACCCAGTGCTCTACTTCTTTGTAAGAAGTCAGAGCTGGGGACTTCCCCAAGCTTTGATTCCCTGCCTGTCAGTTTTACTCCGTACCACCATCCTAGAAAGGTTCCCCCAGGAGGCCTCCCTACCAATTGATTCTACTTAGTCTGCTCCCTTCTATTCTGGCCCTGCTCAAAATTTCCTTTCCTTACCCCTATTTCCAACTACTTTGTCAAGCTAGGCAAAAATATTGACTGGATCTTGGGGACACTCAATGTCTCAGTGATGCCCCTATTATTCACTGAAGCCTTCAATTATATCTCAGAGAGGGATTAATATTCCTCCATCTGTGGTTTCTTCCCCTTCCTCCTGTTCAAGAAGTTTTCAGTGAAAGACTATTTCATTTTTGTAGCTTCAGTCTTTAGGCACTGAGATAATGGCCTACATGTAACAATTTAGGGGAGGGAACTATTAGTGGGCTTGGCACCTAGTAAAGAAGGTGACCCAGTTCCTCCTGGAATACATTTCCAAGCACAAATCTCCCTACCCTGCCTTTTTGTTTTTTTACACATACCTCTTTGCTTTCCATTAAGGCTTGAAAACAAATGAGTCAGCACAGGAGCTTTAGCTTAGAAATCAGGTTTGAATTTTAGGTCCCTTCTGTCACTGACTTTAAATATAAGTTTAGATAATTCACTGGCCTCTCTGGACCTTTAAATCAAGGTTTGGACTAGATTACTTATCTGGGCTCTTTACCATCAATTCATACTTGATAAATCAATTAATTAGAAGGGATTCTAATTCCAATACATAGGTTTCCTATATCTCTGAAAGAGATAAAAGTCAGGTTCCTGTTTGTTACACATTTAGCTATAGGAAAAGCAAGTGTATCTATGAAGAAATACAACCTGGCAGCCCCTACACTTAACTAATTAATTTCTTGGAAGAAGCAGAGAAATAGGCCACAAGGGAGACCTGGCAGTGTCAAAAAGGGTCTATAAATTAAGTGATCAAAGAAGTAGAAAACAATGGCTGTAACCAGACAAGATCTCTAAGCACAGACAGTAGTCTATAAAGGTGTGAGTGGGAAGGAGTCCCTGGAGCATCTATTAGAGGGAAGGACTTGGTCCACAGCAAGTTGCTACAGCATTTGGTTCAAACCCAGTTTTCTCAATCTGTCAACCTGGTGTGTGTGCACACGTTCAGATATGCTATAGACTGTAGTTATGCTTCTGAAGTGCTGAAATGAGAAAGAAACATCAGAAAAATGACACCAAATTAAAAAAAGACTGAAGGCAAATCAAACTTTGGTTTAAAAGTTCCCCATTTTCCCCACTTTGTATGGTTTTATCACTGCTCATTCTGAAGTATGGGCTACAGAGTTTTGTGGGATGGTGAACAATGGGGGTGGGAAGGGGTGGGCTTTGGGTATGATTGAAAGCTAAAGGCAGGATGTAACCCACATACTGTCTGAGAATCCTCTCATCTCATGACAAATGAGTTTGACTTTTCCTGGCAAATCTGAACACTTACTTGTCTTCATTCAAAGAAACTGTCTCCACAAAAGGGATTTCTTCCCTGTCTGTCTTCCCCATGATCAGCCGGTGCTTATCCAAATTTATGATACACTGAAAACAAAGGAGAATCACTGGTCACTTTATTGTTTTGATATTGGGGGTTGAACCCAGGGTTGCTTTACCACTAAGCTACATCCCCAGCCATTTTCAATAGGGTCCCCATACAAAAGGATCCCTGCCTCAAAGAAGAAACATCAGAGGAAAAGTGAAGTCAATCCTACCTTCAGGGATCGGAGAGTTTGGAGACCAAGAGACAAGTTTTTCTCATTGTCCTCTAATGAAAAGAAAATGAAACAAAAAATAATAAGATTCAGACATTTCCTTGATGGCTTAGAAGCCAGTTTGATAATCATTAGGTTCATTTCATCCTTCATTCCTTCTGGCCAGCAGCTAATGAACATCTGTTAAGCATCTATTATTAAGTAATTTTCTCAGATCACTATAGTTAAAAAGCAAGGGATTTCAGGAGCTGTATATATGTGTGTCTTATGCACATGGTTGTCTGTGAGCAAGGTATATTCCCCAAAGATAATTTGTATTTTTCTGTTATTAACTGGATTATGTTTTTCATTTAAAAAAAGGATGCAGTCAAGACTCAAATGCAAGTCTTTTTCACTCTAAAAGACAGAGACCTGTAGTCAAAAACAAGAACAGTTTAGAAGAGAATGCATGAGAGGAATATTGTAGGAGGTAGATGGGAAATTATTAAGGGATTTATGGAAAAGGAGTGAGAGGATTTTGTTTTGTGCCACTAACTAATTAATGGAAAGCTCCTGGGATAGTTTCACCTGCACACAAAAATGTTTGTTTCCTTGCTCCATGATTTTTAAGTCTGAGTTCCACAATTGTTTTTCTGATTGATTTTTAGCATGTCTTAAATTAGCTTGGGTCCATCTAATACTTTAGAGGACAAAATTGGAACAAGGTCTATAGCACAGAAAAATGAGAAACTGGGATTTTGAGAAAGTATTTACAGGCATGAGCTCTCATGAGGGTTTACTTTAGGGCCCATAGGTTCAGTTCCGCATTTTACTCACCAACCACAGCTGCTGGGCAGTCCAGGCGCAGGGAGCCCATTGTGATCACTAGGTGCTCTATCTGGCCCACCACTTTGAGATGTCGGGGTAGAGAAAACTTTTCTCCTTCATGCTTGTGAGATCTGACATGCTCCTTGAGTCTGCACCAGAAAGAAAGATATCAGAATCCTCTTGGCAGAGGTTTCTGGTAGAATCCAGCAATGCCTACCTTCTGATCCACAACTGGAATTCTCTAGGGATTTCTGGAGATTAATTTACTAAAATAAGAATTATCCAGCCTACATGTGTTTCAGCATTTTGTCCTAAACATGCCATGGGAATATAAAAAAACCCTAAATTTTGTTTACTATTTTCAAAAAACTTATATCACTATCTGCATTGGTGAAATAGGAAAGTTGACATATTCAGAGAGTATCCTATTCTGCATCCTAACTTCCCACCTATGTGTGAGCAGTTTAGTTAATATGTCCTTTTACTCGTCTGTGGGTAACAAATATCAAAGAAGGTGGGTTAATCCTAATTTTAGAAGGTTTGTCTCAGGCTATAAGGTTAGTGGGAGCAAGTATGTATTTCGTAAATGCATTGAATAATGGTATCAGCAAGGAATATTATAGAGAAAATTCTCATTAATTTGACTTTTCTATTAAAAAAAAAAAAAAGCTATTCTCTGAATATTACCTGGCAAGAAGAAGGAAAAGAATAGCACCAATGTTTCACATATTATATAAGCCTTTTGGAATAGCTAGCACCCGAGCTCTTATGGGTTGGTAGATAAATACTTAATTATGGACTTTCTGTGCCAATGCTTCTGCTTTCCTCCACATCCTGTCTTTTAGTGTTACAGCCTATCCAAAAGAAAAATAACTGCAGTTTTACAGATGGTTATTAATTTCTCGAGAATCATGGCAGTCTGCTACCTAATTATACACAGAACATTATTAGTTGTTCTGGAACCATCATGTTGCACCATATCTCATCTCTTTACCACATAAGAGCTCAGGATTCATCCCGCAAGAGCACTTGAGTCCCAGACTCCTCCATCACCAACACTACATAGCAATATACAAAATACATAGAGTCAACTTCAAAGAGTCATAGTGGTGGTGAGGGATAAAAGACGGAGTAGACACAGAATGAAGCCCTATATAAAGCCTACTTAAGAATATGGATGTCTTGAATGTAACTCAAACTGGACCACGATGTCTATATCAGTGATTGTATCATTGCAGAGATTTGAGCTAGCTAATAATTTATTGTACTTAGGGCTAGAACTATGGAAAGTGATTATTGGGTCGATCTTACTGATTCTGGGCTAGACTTCAAGGCCCATCTGGTACTTTGAAGGAAAGAGTAGAAAGAAGAAAAGAAAAGTAGAGCTTGAGTAAAAAGTAGGCAAGATACAGATGGTTTTCTCCGACTAAAAGAGGGAGAGAGCCCAGTTCTATCTGTTAAGAGAACTGAAGACATTCGATATACTAGGCGTCCTCCTCTCACTCATTCCCCAGCAGGGGAAACAGTAGGACCTGATTTTACATGTTCTTCGTGGGGAGGAGAGGCACTAAGAAACTCCCAGTGAAATCACCCCTATGGGGGCTGGGGATGTGGCTCAGGCGGTAGTGTGCTCGCCTGGCACCTGCGGCCTGGGTTCGATCCTCAGCACCACGTACAAACAAAGATGTTGTGTCTGCTGAAAACTAAAAAATAAATATTAAAATTCTCTCTCTCTCTCTCTCTCTCTCTCTCTCTCTCTCTCTCTCTCTCTCTTTCTCTCTCTTTAAAAAAGAAAAAGAAATCACTCCTATGACAGCCAGGGCCCAGCAGCAACAGCAGCCTATTCTTAGTTCCGATTAATGCTTCTTCGGGCAGTGTGTTCTCCAGGTCCTGAGTAAGTTAAGACCAACAATATCCCTGCTTTTACTCACCAGGAATAACAATAGGACAGTTACTTCTGACTTACTGTCTGGTGGTCCAGAGCAGGGCATATGGTAAATCAGAAGTCCCATGTTCTCATTCCAGAATCTACAGGTCTTTGCTCAGAACTTAATAGGTGGGAGATAATAGAAAGCCTAAGACTTCCTGGCTCACTGACTTCTCCCAGATGCCTGAGAACCTACCCCTTGTTTCCTCTCTAAGAACTCTGGTTCCAGCTGAGATCTGACTTTTGTATGTTTCTCTTTGTACTTCTGTGGATGTCTAACCTCAAAATAGATTCAAGCAAAAAGTGTATTCACATCTGATTTCCACCCAGAACAAGTGGCTACTTACCCCAATCTGTCTACACAGGCTGAGGAGATGATATTGTATTGACAGCCTGTGTCAACCAAGACTTTCACATCCTTTCCAGCACACTGTGGGAAGGAAACATATTGTTCAATAAAAGCCAGAGAAGCAATAAGAAAAGGAGAGGCAGAGAAGCAGCAGACGTCAAATGAAAGGCAGGGTTGGATAGCATCCTCCCAATTATGGGTTGGTAGGATCCCATCTTTACCCACTGCTAAATTTGCCTCTAATTGGCTCTTTTTCCTGCTGAATCCAAGGGTGACAAAACATCTCAAAGGACTTTGGGTATTTAATTCTATATACCAAATATATTTTTAAAAAAATCACATACCCCTTTATAAATCTGATGAAAGTTTTGGTCCTTCCCATAAAGATGAACATGCAAACAAAATATTGCATATACTTCCAGTGTTTCCCAGAATGCCCCCTTTAAAAGTCATTTATGAATTCCACGATGAGACCCACAGTCTAGAAGGTTTGGAGGAAAGCACCTTTTATAGGGATCATAAAGGGCCCCAAATCCTGCCCTCAAGCCCAGAAAAGCTATTCTCTGAACATTACCTGACAAGAAACCAAAATCATATCATCATCCTCAGACTTCTTTAGCCCCTCAGACTTAGCTTGATTGAATTTGTTGGTCTTGGAGGCCCAAGGTACACGACTGCTTCGGAACTTAGACAGGTTGGTTTCCATGAGTCGCCTCTGCAGAATGTTATGAGGTTGCTTGAGGGATAGAAAACAGAGACTTCTTAGAGACAGGTAACTTCCCCCTTCTCCTTCTACTCCCAAAGTACCACAAAAATAATGAAGGAACCTCACATGATTGAACTCTACCCTCACATGATTGAACTCTACCCTTCCTTCAAGTGGGGATTTCTCATTGTCAGCAAGTGCTATAAGCCAATTTTCAACAGGTTTCCCTGAATAAATGAAAAGGTAAAGTAGGACACTGGAAAATATGGATAAAACCAATGACTACTCTATGGCTCAACAGAGTCGAAAAACCCTGGTGATGTGGACTCCTGCCTTTTTTTTTTTTCCCTTGTAAGGGCATTTCAAGGGGAAAGTGACCTTATTCTGGAATACGTAATCTGTAAATCAGTGCCTTACAGAAAGGGGAGCTCACTCCCACAGGCTGAAGAAATGTACCTTGCTATTTACTTTTATGTCACATTTTACTCCTTTAACATTATTATGTACACCTAGTCTGCAAATGCTTTGATGACATGGCTCTTGTGTGATTCCATGGGATGGATGGGGTGGAAAAGGGATTCACATTTGCTGAGCAAGCTTTTCAACAGACATACTTTGGAATCTCACAGAACCCATAACAATCATCCTCACTGATAACCTCAAATCACTGGCTTTTCTTGCCTCATTTTGTTATCCAACCCCTTTCTTCAATGGGTCAAAAAGTTGGGGCATAAGAGGGGCAGACACTAACCAAGAAGCAGGAATTTATTTAGATCTTATGTGTGTGCCAGGATACCCAATATTAGAAAGCAGAATGAGGACTGTTTAAGTCTGATTTTTGATAGAGCTTAGGAGAGTTTTTCCAGAAGATGTATTCAGGCCCTTTTGTTTCTACTCCAAGTGGCCCCCTAAGAACATCTTTTGAAGTCGCTTGACCTGAGAAATTTCTATACACAGGCATCTAATGCTCAGTTTATAATACACATAAAAATCCCTTAAAGGGGGGCTGGGGCTGGGGCTCAGCGGTGGAGTGTTGCCCTGGCATATTCTAGGTGCTAGGTTCGACCCTCAGTACCACATAAAAATAAATAAATAAAATAAAGGTATTATGTCCAACTACAACTAAAAAAATTTTTTTAAATCCCTCAAAGGATATCTAACATATAACACATTCCTTCTTCAATTCCAGGTGGAAGGGAATGAATCACCCCCAGAAGCCCAGAGCCTAAAATATTCCTAGGGCAGGGGTAGCACTGGAGGTCTTCATTATCTTCCACCTTACAGATTTCTAAGGAAGAATGGAGTCAGATCCATGACTCACTATAACCCTGGTGAGGTGAAGAAATGAATTCCTAAAATATACTGGTTCTTGGCAAAGCAGATTCTAAATTAGTGTCCCCGGGGAAAGAGGCGGGAAAGGCACTTATAAAGAAAATGAGAGCTTCCTAGCTTTATAAGGGGCTAGAGGAAGTGCTAACTCTGTCCAATTTTGTGATGCAATATGCTTTGCTCCTCAAAAGAAAAGTAAATTCTTCATCCTGTTCTCTCTCACTAATAGCCTGCATTTCCTGCTCAAGCCTTCTAAAGCAGGGTGTTTGTTTCTTTCAAGTTCATGCCTAGAATGAATTTGTAGAATTGAAGATTGGAAGGGGTTTCACAAGCCATCTAATCAAATCCCTTTTACCTAAAGCTTGGGACTCTCCTATTTTTTAAATTATTTTTTATTTGTTTTAATTAATTATACATGACAGTGGAATGCATTTGTGTACTTTGCTATATCATACATAGATGGGATATAATTTCTCATTTTTCTGAGTGTACATGTTGTGGAATCATATTGGTCATGCAGTCACATGTATACATAAAGTAATAATGTCTGTTTCATTCTACTATCTTTCCTATCCCCACATCCCCTTCCCTGCCCTCCCTTCACTTCCCTCTACCTAATCTAAGGGAACACTATTCTTCTTTAGTGCCGAGCCCCCAGCCTTATTGTGAGTTAGCATCCTCATGTTAGAGAAAACATTTGGCATTTAGTTTTTTGGGATTGGCTGATTTCACTTAGCATGATATTCTCCAACTCCATCCATTTACTGGTAAATGCCATAATTTCACTCTTCTTTAAAGCTGAGTAATATTCCATTGAGTATATATACTACATTTTCTTTATCCATTCATCTATTGAAGGACACCTAGATTAGTTCCATAGTTTAGCTACTGTAAATTGAGCTCATTTTTATTATTATTTGGTGCTGAGGATCGAACCCAGTGCCTCACATGTGCTAGGCAAGCACTCTACCACCAAACTACAACCCCAGTCAATCTTACACTGGTCTTGCTGAATACTTCACTTCCTTACTCTTAATCTTGCAGTGGGGCCTAATCTAAGGACAAATGAGGCAAATAAGGCAAGTTCTGAAATTATCCTCCTTGAAGTCATTCTATTCTGTATTATCTTCTGTATTTTCCTTTCTTTCTCCTAGATCCTTCCTCCATAGGCTAAAGAACATCTCAAATTTTCTAGACACTAAGGAAAAAACTCACCCAAAACCCCAGATACTGCCTCTTGAACTCATCTTCATCTGTAATCACACTCTTGTCTATAATTTTTAAGCCTAAACCATTAAGTCTATTTCGTGATATACTATATTTTTTTCACTGAGATTACTTCTGATCTCACAATACCAGTAATGATCTAGAATCCAGTAGGCAATTTTTAGCCTTAATTTTACTTTACTTCTCCAGTGCATTTTGCCCCCTATCTTTTCCTTTGTTTTTTTAGTTAGTGACCAAAAAAGTTCAAACTCCTACTCAGTATAATATATTCATATATCTGTTGGCTGCAGTGGCACATGCCTGTAATCCCAGAGACTCAGGAGGCTGAGGCAGGAGAACTGCAAGTTCAAGGGTAGCCTTGGCAACTTAGTAAGACCCTCAGAAACTTGGTGAGAACCTGTCTCAAAGAATAGAAAGGACTGGGGATATAGTTCAGTGGCAGAGCACCCTTGAGTTCAATCCCCAGTACCTAATAATAATAATAATGATAAAATATTAAATAATAATAAAGTATTACAATATAAGAATAAAGGCGAGGCAGGCATGGCGAAACCTGCCTGTAATCCCAGTGACTTGGGAGACACTGGGCAACTTAGCAAGACCTTGTTTCAAAGATAAATAAATAAATAAATATAAGATCTGGGGATGTAGCTCAGTGGCAGTATGCCCCTGGGTTCAATCCTTAGTACCAAAACAGACAACAACAACAAAAAAAAACATTAAAGGTGAAAGCCTCTTTAACTTCTCAGCCCCTTAATAGTTCCACTTCCTACAAATAATGATCATTACATATAGAAGTATATACTTCTAAAAAATACAAACATGCATAAAATAGGATTATACTGTAACATAGATGCCAATGACCGACTGCACTGTTACTTAAGAAAAAATAACTATTATGTTTGAGCTATTGTATTTATTGGTATCCAGTTGTGAAAATGGTTTTCTCACTTAAACTAAAACCCTGCAAAAGTTTAGGAGTTAGAGGAGTTGGAACTTCTATAGTCATAGGGTATGATTAGGGTTGGAAATAGGTTAGTTTATTTTTTTTTTATTTTTTATTTTTTTTAATTTTTCACATTTTTAATTTTTTTTTTTATTGATTGTTCAAAACATTACAGAGCTCAAGACATATCATCTTTCATACATTCAACTCAATTGGGTTTTGAACTCCAGGTTAGTTTAAAGCCTATGTAATACTCCTATTTGACTCAGACAGCTGGGAATAATGCCAAAAGTGTACTCTTTCTGTAAATCAGAAGACTGAGACTAATTGTTTGTTTGGACAGGTTTTCAGATTTCTAGAACAGCTGAAAGTTAGTGTGGGTTCTAAGCCAGAACTGAAGATCATAAGTTTAAAGATTGAAAGGGGGAGCTGAGATTGTGGCTCAGTGGTAGCACACTTGCCTGGTGTGTGTGACACACTGGGTTCGATTCTCAGCACAATATATAAATAAATAAAATAAAGGTCCATCAAAAACTAAAAAGTATTTTTAAAAGATTGAAAGGGCTCATGTGGAGCCTAGCATAATAAAGAAAAAAGATCTACATCAAGATTTCACATCACTATGGAACATCATAGGTGACAAAGATTCCGAAAGCTTCCAAAGAGAAAAAGATGAGCCACATCCAAAGGATTAGGAATCAGAATGGTACAGGACTACTGAGCAGTAACAATGGGTGCTAAAGGACAATGGAATAATGCCTTCAAGAATCTGAGAGTACATAATTTCTACAACTAGCCAAACAATCAAGACTTAGAGAACTATTTCCCCTACATCCTAAAGAAGCAACTGAAAGATATCTTCCACCAAAGTGAGGGAAACAAAGAGAAACAAATGGAACATATCCCCCCCCCGCCCCCCCCAAAAAAGGATCCAATAGAGAAAAAAATGACAAAGGAAAATCTGAGAATTATATTGAAGGAAAAGTCTAAGGAATAGGTTTTCTATCAGGCTTTAAGAACAACGAGTCTGGAAAAAGTAGGCCCAAATCTTCATCATGTCAGCTTAGGTCCTGACTTTCTAAATAAGACTCCTAAAGCACAAGAAGTAAAATTAAGAATCAATAAATGGAAATGGATTCAAACTAAAAAGCTTCTTCTCAGCAAAGGAAACAATAACACAAAGAGAAAGCCTACAGAATGGGAAAAAAATCTTTACTACCTGCACCTCAGATACAGCACTAATCTCCAGGATACATAAAGAACTCAAAAAACCTACCATTAAAAAAAAACAACTCAATCAATAAATGGGCTAAGGAAATGAACAGACACTTCATCATCTCTAGCAATTAGAGAAATGCAAATCAAAACTAAGATTTCTTCTTACTCCAGTCAGAATGGCATTTATCAAGAATATAAGCAATAAGTCCTGGCAAGAATGCAGGGGGAAAAGGTACACTCATACATTGCTAGTGGGATTGCAACCATTGTGGAAAGCAGTATGGAGATTCCTCAGAAAACTTGGAATGGA